ATGGTAAGAAATATAAAAATTCATATGTTATTTAGCTAAAACACAAACTTTCATTGACTTTAATTTTCAAAATGTCCTTTGCATGTTTCGCGGCAAATAATTATCATGATATAACATGCAAAGCATCAAAGGGCATCCAAGCAAGAGATAGAGCAAATTACTCTATCTCAATCCAATGAGAAGTTGCAGCACTTTGAAATCAATTTAGATGGGGAAAAACAGTGCAAAATAGTGATTTTAGGCAATTTTGAGACGTCCCCCATTGCCATGGTAACAGGAAATTTAAGATCGAGCAAGCTGTTACAGATGCTATGGTACAGTTAACATTTGTGCCAAGTTTCATCAGTATTGAAGCATTTTTCATAGTTTCATAGCCGTGTGAACTTGTAACAGGAAGCTTTTCAATGAAAACGGGCATTTTTCACAATATGCTCATGGGGTCAAAGGTAAAATCCAGAATATTCACTTTATCCAAGAAATCCTCCCTGGTCATTCAAAGCTGTGGCTTACATTACTGTGGTGTGCTACCTATAAACTTGGATTAAATCGCAAAACTTTGTATCCTCACACCTTGTGCTCACGGAAAATACCGAAGCGATACATCACTATGATTTTGCGCTAGAATTTTAGGTCTGGTACCCAGCTACGACACAAAAGCAAATATTAATCACGTGGTTTCTAGTTTTTATTTGTTCTGATGTTCTTCTTATTGAAATGAGTCAGTTTTATTTCGTTTAAGGTTGTTTTCATAAAGAAAGAATATGGATAAATCTCTATAACAACAATTCTTATAGCCTCTACATACAAATTTATTTTCAGTGTGAATCGAATGGGAATAAGAGTTGCACAAATACATTTGTAAGAAACAAGTTCGAGAAAACACACTTTCTTTTAAATAAGTAGAAATAGCACATGTTTAAAACAAAAAGTAATTTATTGGTATCTAATATTAAATTAAACGAATTAAGATGAAGTACTGGCATTGGCTTTAGAATATTACAACTTACTATAAACATAGTAAGAAAGAATTAATAAATATTTAAGTAAAGACCTTTCATTTACTCACAGATGAATCAAATTTGTAGGAATATGATTTAAACTTAAGCAAATGAAAGCAACAAGTAGTCAAATGAATAAATACCCAAATTCTGCTCCATAAATAATAGCCAAAAAATGACAATTTCAATAATTTGACCTTCAAAGTCAAGGTCATTTAGGAGTGAAGGTCAAGATCTGTCTGGTTACTTTTAAGGGATATCCTTGAAGATTAATATGTTCAAGTTTGAAGACAATCCATTCAAAAATAGCAAAGTTACAGCCAATAACGGCAAGAACAAGCAAAACTTGGACTTTTGACCTTGAAGGTCAAGGTCATTTATGGATGAAGGTCAAGGTTAGTTTGGTCTACTGAGAGGTCTTGTCCCAAGGGTTGTTGTGACCAAGTATAAAGACAATATAAAGACAATACACCAAGAACTAAAAAAAGTTATGATCCAGGTACAAGTTTGCGGATGGCAACGGCAACGCCGCCAGGACTATAACAATATCTCTACTCTTTTTTTTTTCAAAAAAAAGTCGAGCTAATAATAATACTAATGTGCACAATGCAAACATGAATTGTTGAAAAACCTGTGGATCCGAAGCATAAAAATGCTTTGTTTTTAAGTGTTCGAGTCTCACGTAAATATCCAATCAACGATGGATTTGTTTTTTTTATTTATAATTGAAATCTGTCCCTTTTGATTGACTTCTCCTGTAGTCATTCGTCGCTAAAGAAGTCATTCAAAAAGGTCAGATTTCAATTTTGCATCCAAAACAGACATAAACTTGCAAAGAGTAAATATATAGAGGATATTCAAGCTTTTTCTATAAATACATGATTTATTTTCATCGAGTGGTATGAAAATAAATATTTCATAAGTGGCGGTAGCCACGAGTGAAATATGATAATTTTCATGCCACAAGATGAAAATAAATCATGTATTTATAGAAAAAACTTGAATTTTCTGTTTATTATATACATTTTTCTCTTTTTTGCGATAAAATTTGAAAGACTTTCCCTTAAAGTTTGTGTACTGGCAGAATTTAAAAGAAAGTAGTCCGGCAAGACACCAGTGAAAATACGGAAAATATGTTTCACTGCAGTGAAAAATAAATTTTTACAGTGAAAATACGGAAAATGAAAATACGCTTTTTATTTCATCAATATTTCTCAATATTTTCTTTATAAGTATATAATAAATATTTGTATTATTTATGCTATAGACACACTTACATTTGATTAACTATTCTTTAAACTTATTAACAGCAGAAAAAATAAACTGAGAAAATCCCTTTTATATAAGCTCAACATTTCAACTCTATATAGACAAAGCAGTGAGGAATTTCATTTATAAAATCTGACATTTTTTGGAGATGATAAAAGACTAAAAATAGTTCACTCGGAAAGTTGATTGTACGCGACCTCATATCTAATAATAACTGAGCTGTGCCAATGACCTGGACTAATGAGTAAAGAAATGTTGGCCAAATATAACATCCTAAAAACAGTACTACTTTTCAAATTTCACAGTATTGTAGCTATTATAAATGTTTACTGTCACTTTTTTTCGAATTCACTGTTCACAAAACAATAAAAAGATTTTCGGACATTCACAATGTTAAGGTCTTCTAGTTATTTATAGCTTTTGAATTAATGTACAGCAATACGGCTTTCCGGTTCTTATTCACTAATATGACATGCTGCGACAATCGCAACTACTCGGCCCTTTCCGTCAGTCTTCGGATAAGGACCTCGAACACAATAGTATGAATACACAGAACGGAAGCGGTATTCCGGTCTAACCTACGCTAAGAAACTAAACATGTAAACAACTAGTAATTTAATGCTGGGAGTTGTTGACAAGTTTATTTCCAAAATATGTAGCTAAAGTCCACCTAAAATGAGTGAATTCATAGGTACAAAAGCAAACAATACATATTTATATATTTACTAATATGGCTGTAGAAACCGAAAATACAAAAAAACCAACCTGTTGACATTTAGTCGGATTTGTTTAAAATTGAACATCAGTGGGCATATTTGAATAACAAATTGTTGTCAGACATATTTTCAAGCAGAAGAGTACCGGAACAGAATTAGATGTCAAATATATACGTTCGTTTTACATTATCTCTGTTTCTGTTTACATCTGTAAACACGTGGTAGAACTACTTTCAATCCGTATAGTTACCGAGGTTATTATAGATGATAGCCGAGGCAGTTCCGAATGATGCTGCGAATCACTGAAAGGAAAACCAATATATGACTTTACACAAGGTTAGCTTTTAAAAAAGCTAGTAGCGACTCGCTTCGTAATTTTTTTTCCAGGGGTGCGTTTAAATGTAAAAATGACAGTTCTGTTAGCTGAAGAGACTTCAGCGAACATCAAAATAAAAGTGACATAAAGTTATGGAAGCCAGTTTCACTCAGTTTAACAAAGAGGAATATGAGTATATATGAAGATGCATGTAAACAGATAGAATGAATTCCCTATGTCTATGCACATTTACTATATGGCCTGTTGACCTTGACCAAATAAATGTTAGATAGGTAGAATTCATAAAGATGTCTCTTTATACGAAGTTAAGTTGTAATATGATATTTAGTATTGGAATGAGTGACAGACACAAGTCCTAAAGTAAACACAAGTTGTCAATTAATTCAGCCAGAAAAGCCGGGATCCTATTAAAAATATAGGGATCCCGGGAACTAACCAGTCTTAGATGCTTTTCAGATAAGCCGGGATCCTATTAAAACATATAGGGATCCCGGGAATTGACCAGTTCAAGAATATAGTTTTCAGAAAAGCCGGGATCGTATTTAAGTCTAAAGAGATCCAAGGAATTGGCCAGTTCAAGAATAGTTTTCAGAAAAGCTGGGATCACATTAATACATAAAGGGATCCCGGGATTTGACCAATTCAAGAATGTAGTCTTTGATTTTTCCAATTAATTAGGCATATAATTATAAGTATTGTGATTTTTAGGTTTGCTGATAAATAGCTCTAAATATATTTATATCCAAAGTTTAATTAATTTAACGTTCATTACATACAATAAAAAAACTTAACGTTTAATGGTCTTTCATTACGACAATAATCAACACAAATATAGTTTATAAGTTTTTCCTCTATATCTTATACGATCCCGGATCCCGGCCAGTCCGGGCGTCCCGGATCCCGGCCAGTAAATATATACACTAAATACCAGAAAGGATAAAATGACCGGAAAAAAGAAAAAAGAAAAAAATCCACAGAACCAGGTGTACACTTAAAAATATGTTAATTAACCAAACGAAAACTTACTACAGAGGAACAGGTGAAATCGCTAAATCAAAAGTCAGTGTTAATATGATTTATTGAAAAGAATTCATGAAAACAAACATTTTTAATCATCATAATATCTTTGCGCTCAAAACAATACTTGCTGCTTTTTAAATATGGCGTGAAAATTGAAGGTTTTTTGACGCTATGTAAGATTAAATTTGATTGGCTAAATAATTTTGGATCCTAGCCCTGATAGATAAATTTTGATAGAAAGCTGGAAGCCAAGCTTCGATTAAATTTTTGGATGGATTCGGAGTTTTAGGTTGTTTCTAAGTAAAATCCTACCGTAATACCGGCTCGCCGTGGCGAGCCGGCATAATAGAATCGAAAGGAGTTCGTGAATCCGAATTTATTTTTAGCTATATATCGAAGGGATTAATTGTTAAAAACCGGGCCCATGGAAAAAAATAGTTAACACAAATAGCTTCTTTTTTTCCCCAAATATTATTATCTTAGTTTTGCTTATAATTACTATAGCCTTGATATTACGGTAGTTTTTAATGTCACGAAGTATATTTTGCGATGTCTCTGATTTAGCAAGTACACATCTGTAAAGAACCAAAAACAAAAACAAAATAAAAAAAACATCAATCATTTTATGTTAGTATGTTTTCTATGGCATGGTTAGTACTATAATTTATACCAATTAAATCATAAATAAAGGTATTTTTTATACAACTGTACACCAGGCATTTGCGGTATCTAACCAATGACAATCAAATATTCCTGTAGTGAACCAGTTCAAACATCCATCATTTCTCTCTTGAAGGACAAAGCCCTTTGTCTGATCTGTTAGCCAGCCACAGTTACAACTACTAAAACCAAGACTTCTAGCTGTAAGAAGGTCAGAGGGAGTCGATAGTGTTCCTCCTCTTTCCTTGCAAGCATTGTTGGCTTCCGAGAACGTCATGGTATACCGTCCATTTAATCCAAGTACGAGAAAAACTGAAATGAGAAAGTATTCGTAGTTTATAAATCAATAGATAACGTGTGAGCAATACTTGTACATGTATAATTTTCCGTAAATTTGACATTTGTCTCGACCCACAAGTGATATATTTGTCAGGTCATTTTTCGCAATTTTATCTGAAAAGAATATGACATATACATGTAGATGTGATATTAAAAAATACTAATGATAAATCAATAAATAAATAAACGGCGTATTATGCTTTGTAAAATTCATTCATTATTAGACGCGCCATATAAAGCAGCAATTTTTACAGAAGGAACGGGCAGTCACAACATATTCTAATTTTAGAATTTTGCTAATGTGAATTTTATACTGGATTCTGGATTTTCAAACACTTTAAGAAACACCATTTATATATATTGTATAGGGTAACTATATTTCTTTTATATCTTAATCCAATTCAGATACTGAGATAAAACGAGTTTTCTTCTTCCGTAAGATAAAACAGTGACGTCTGTGTCATGTTAGTATTACCATAATATATGATTCATTAATGTGAACCCAAGAGGACGAAAATATTTCTTAATGCTGTTTGGGAAATTTATTGTAACATACTGGATTCACAAGTGTGATGTATAAATTTGCTTTGTTTATATATAATTTATTTTAGTTAGATTGAGTAAGCAGCTATATGCTTAAAGACACACTCTCGAATCCGTTCCTGAAACTAATCAGATCTGAGCAATAAGTGTATTTTTTCTTGCTCTTTTGAACATACGCGGCAATCACTATGTAACTGAACAGCATATCGAGCTATATTATAACACAAATCAAAGCAAAGATCTATTTCCTAATATTATCATTCCCTGTAAATGAAGCAAATAATGAAGTGACAATACCTTGGTAAATGATTCTTGAATATGTTTTCCATCCAATAGCAGTGACTACAGTTGAAGGTATAGGATTATCCCAGTCATCATGAATTTGATCAGTCTTCGACAGCAGACAAAGGTTATCTATAGAGTTCCAAGATGCCGAAACACAGTCAGTTGTCAAGTCACACTTTCTTAGGCAAACAAAGCGACTTTGCGAAAAAATTCCTTCTAAGACATTTTCAGCTTTAAATTTGACATCCTTTCTTGCCAAATACTTTGAAACCTGAATCCCGGCATTAGTGAAATAAACACTATTTAAGAAAAGAATTATTAAAAGAGAAGCTTCTCGGAACATGTTTGAAAATCAGTAAATCCTGATATAATTTGACTTTCTGATTTGATCTTTTTCAAAAAGAGAGGAGAAAAAGGTCAGCAAACATTTTTATATGTGACGTGCAGTCATCTAACGGTAATACTGATCATAACAATGTTTAGTAATGTAGGCTACCATTCTAATTTGTTCAAGTGACAGTGCAAATAAAACGCAATTATGACATTACCGGTGGCGAATGGAGAGACTGATACCCGACGTAGATATCTAGCTCCCGTTATTCATTGTGTATTTGTAAGTAAATATGATATTTGATATGCATTTGATTAAATGGGTCTAACACATCATTTTCGATTACATCGTTTAATATTTATAATCAGTGCAGCTTTCATGATTTCTTCTTTTTTTTGTATCAATTTCCTTTTCCTCTTTACTTTATAATTTTAAAAGGGAGTCTTTAAGTCGTAAAAATTTTATTTCACTTAAATGAATTCTGAAATCTCATCGTAAAATAAATTGAATTTTATTTTCATCATCATCACTTTCATAATCATCATTGACTTTATTTTCATCATAATCATCGAAATTATCATTATAATCACATTCATCATTATCAAAATCATCATCAAGTCTGTCATCACCTCTTTTATCAGCATTTTGATACATCATCACGCTATATCTAAATCAGCGTCATCATTAAAATTATCACCGCCGTTGTAATCAAAATCATCATCAACATCATCATCAAAATTGTTACATGTATTATCATAACGTTTGATAATTATATGATTTAATCATCAGCAAAGTCTGAGACTAAAAAAAGGATTGGAGCACCACACTTAATACCGTATTCAAGTATATACCGGACAAGGGGTGCTTGAATGATGAAATGCCAAATCTTGCATTTTCACCCAACGGAATTATCGTTAAAAGGTCTAATTCATCTTTTTACATCGATTTAGGTATGATAGTGAATGAAAAATGTAAGAATCGGCGGAAAAAAACGATAAAAACGAGGTACTGCTCCAATCCTGTATTGAGTTAAATCCATCAGCAAAATCGTAATCAAAATCATCGAGATCATCACCGACTCGGTGATCATTATCATCATTATAATCATTATGAAAAATCATCTTCGCGTTCATCATCATTATCATCGTCATCGTTATCATAATGAAAAATCAGCTTCGCTGAAATATGTTTATAATAGCATAGCCGGAATACATATTATACTGTGCTCCTCTTAGTTCACGGTACTTAACGTTTTGAAACCAGAAAGAAAACAACCAATGAAACTTATGGTACAAAAAATTGTCATAGGCTATAACATATATGTATTTTCTACTGTATGGCAATATATTCGGTCAAAGTCAATTATAATGGACCAAACGTAGACCACATGTCCGCCATTTTGAAAACAGTATGTCATCATTTAAATCGCGGTAATGGTGTTACATTTCAGTTTTTTCATGTTTCAGTTAAAATTTATACATGTCATGTTGCTTGATTTTAAATATTAAAATTACCCTTACTTTGTAACTTAAAATTTATTTTTTCAACAAACAAGAACATTTAGAAAATGATGATTGTTTCAGACAAACGCACATATTTAATGGACTGTTATTGCTTTTTGCAGAAATTTGTAAAATGTTGTTCTGTTTTACGTAAAATCTAGAGATTTAAAATATTTTCCACAAAATTTGTTTTGTATAGGTGTATGAATAACATATGTCAATTCTGACCAATTTTAACACTGGTCACATGAAAATATGCCATTACCGTGAAATAAGTGATGACGCAAAATTAGTGATGTTGAGTATAAGCCTTTTTATTAGGAAAGCCTTGTTTTCATTATTTCGGATTGATGATGATAACAATATCGTGCTACTACTAATTATGATGATATACTGATTGTCTTGATGAACTCTTTTTTACTATACTGATGATGGTTTTGATAATATTGGTACCAATGATGATGATGATAATGATGTGCTGTTGCTGATGACGATGGTGATAGCTATGGAAACAATAATGAGGATGATGAAACACTGATTATATTATGATGACGATGTCTATCATGATGTTCGGTTGATAATGATAATCATGGTGATGTACTGTTGATTACGGTGATGTTTCGATCATGATGTTGATGTTATGATGATGATAAACTGGATGCTAATTAATGATGTTTTTGTTATTGAACCTTTTACACCATTTGAAGATACAAAATATATATAATTATATAATATATTGCTAAATTAGATGTGCATAAATCAAATGGCTTGGACGGCATTGGTCCAAATATTTCACGTTACTGTGGTGACCACATCACTACATCTATTACGTTTATGATTACGTAGTTCTATTGATACAGGTCTTTACTTTGAAGAAAGAACTTTGGAGGATGTCGTTCAATGTTCGATATATTTTTTTATTTATAAAGCTTGTAATAACCTAGCCCAATCTTATATAATGAAAATCACAATTTAAGATCTGCATCACATAATGCTATAGATATATCAAAACACCGAACAAACTATGGTAAAGAGACTTTTTGTTACAATGGTGCATAGATTTGAAATAGAATACCAATTTCGAATTCTCTGACATCTTTTAAAAAATAAATATAAAAAATCCATTTCTTACAGATCAAATAAATATCGTCATAATTCTGTCATTATGTTATAACTCTGATTATGCATACTTATTTGTTAATTTTATGTAAAAGAAGATTGTATGAGCTAGTGTTATCTTAATATCGAAATTGAGCTTTTGTCAAAACAATCAAATTATGTTTGTTATAGGACAAAATCGTAATTGACAAATGTTAAAGTTGTTACTGTTTGATGATGTTGTTTTGTTTATGTTTTTATGTATTGCTTAGAAGGCCACATTTAAAATTAAGATATGTTATTTGTGTTGCCTTCTTTAAATAAAGATATTATTATTATTATTATTATTATCATGATGTACTGATGGTGAAAAGGATGTTCTGGTGATGATGATAATTATATAATTAATGATGATGGTATGCTTTTATCTTGATGACATACTAATAATGATACTGTTCTGGTGATTGATATTGACTTGATGCTGATGAACTGTTGATATGGATGATGTCAATGATGATTATGTCTTGTTGCGGTCGCTGTTCTGCTGATGATAATGTATGATGGTTATAATGATGATAATGATGACAAATCATGTTTAAATGACTTAATATTAAAAAAAAAAAAAAAAAAAAAAAACGTACGCAAAACTATTAATGGCATTCTTTTACTTTATCAATATTATAGGGGAGCTTTATCCGTGAAAATGGGGCATCTTGGCGTTTAAGGCTCCCCTATATTTGGAACTATAGTCGTTGCAATTGTGGTCTGTTGTCAATGATTAAAGCCTTCCGTAGGGCCAGTCATATTCGTTGAGACCTACATTTTTATGCGGTGTAACAATGCTTTGCTAAAACATCGTCTAACGTATTGTAATATTAAGCACACAGTATCATTGCGATGATGTATAGGTTCAATTATATACAAAAATTATCAAAATTTGAAATTAATTTGTTACCTTCTGTGCCTTTTTACATAAAAATGAATGTGAATTTAAGGAAAGCGTATCAGTCAACATATATGTTTCAAATATACAATTTTTTATGACGTGTAACTGTAAAGCAGCAATGGGATTTTAATTGAACGGGCGTTTGTCCTTTTCTCGGCAACTGAGCTAAGAATATTGACCTACTTTTAGAAGTTATATAACGCACAGGCCACTGAGGAATTTCAAGATATTGTAAATAAATACTTGAAAGATATGATCTTCTTAACTGATATAAGTTTGATAAGATACCAATCATACATGATGCAAGTTAAAACAATTAATTTTGACTTGTCATTCTGAGATTTTGAAATTACAACATCGTGTAGGCGATGTACTTGAAATATCGAAAGATTACTGATATTAAGTAGCTCAACACTCCTTACAATATATGAATATTAAATAAAAACATTCAAATTTACTTCGTCGAATAAAAGAGCTATCTTAATTTATATCCATTTTTGGTATTCTTCACCGGTAACAAGTAATAAAAGACAAAAAGAACACCACAACAGCAAAAACAACAAACCCTTCCACTACAAAAATACATTCATTGAGCCAGACTAAAGTGGATTTACAAAAGTATATTTTTACTGCATTAAGTTATAATTGATCTGACAATTTCATTATACTTTAATTATTCAGAGAGAAGAAGGAAACGTATGTAACAGTCAGTTTTGCACAAATGGAACAACATGCACGTATACAAACAAGTCAGGTGATTGTCGATGCATGACGGTAAGACTTATAATAAAAAAACTTTAGTAAACTTTAACTTATTTCTTTCTTTTAAGAATTTTAAATTCCTTAAAATTCCTTTGTAGTCCAATGTTATGATAGGCATTAATTATGGACATTACTACAGATAAAGTTAGTGTTTATAAGGGGTTCCGGAAATCCATAACAATCAGGATATATGCAAAATCTACAATATTTTTTCATCTGTCATAGCAAATATTAATAAATCGTCTTGTTTACTGATCCATGAAGGTGTATATATCCAGGGATAAATGTTTGAATATGACAATTAGCATTTCATGATATTAGAAATTGTTTAATACTGTATTTCCCTGTCAAGAGTGAAATGAAGACAAATGTGTTAAATGTCGTTTTAAGAAATCAATTAAATCGTACACGTTTGTTGGCAAGAAAATATTTGATAATCTCATAGTCATGGTGTTCACAAGTACACAATATTGAAGCGTTGAATGCTAAAATCAGTTTCATTGTTGAAACAAACGTAGATAAAAGGTTGATTCTCTATTAGACAATAACAATCTTTGTACCATCTATCTAAGTTTAGCTCTGTCCATAACACAAATGTTTAACTACTTTATACATGTATAACAATATTTTCAATCGGATCCCGGGTATTTCCATTAAAATTAATTAAACTTATGGTATGTTGATAAACTGATAAATTAAAATACACGATTTAAATAAAATACTTAAAATTACAGTATATGTTTGTTTCGCACGTTTACAAGATCTTAAAAATATATTTCACAGAGTAAATATCATTTTACGGGTGGCGCTGTCAGCAGTAAAATTAAAGAGCTGGTGTTACAACGAGTGAAATATAATTCGAGCTTACACACAAAACAAAATTAATATATTTTTATTTATTTCATGCTAATTAATGGACTGAAATAATGCGGTATCTTTAATATGACGTCACTAAACCGTGACGTCACATGTTTGAAATATAATCCTTTAAGATTTCACGAAAAACGTTACATTTCTGATTAATCAAACACATTTTACTCATGACGGCATGTTTTTCTGGTAAGATTTCCGCATTCAGATATATATTCCGGCTTTTGTGAAGAATATTTCACCATGAATTTATAAACTAGAGATCTATATAATTTCACTGACCACTGAAAATCATTTATTTCATGATTTCCAGTGTTTTACTGGAATATATCAGATGATTATATTCTGATAAACCATTACTGTACAGTAGTGAAATAAGATATAATTTTCACTGTAGCTGGACTGTTTTTGAATGCGGATGAAAAGAAAATCATGAATAAATGGAATAACAGGCAGAAATAAACGCCGTTATACGTAAATTTGCTTCTTTAGGAAAAGAAAGTCGATGTCATAATACATCATGTTAAATATGTTACAAAATTAGAAAAAAAATAACAGAACTATATTTCAAAATTGATGATGTGACGTCATGATATGGTGACGTCACCAAAGACGTTACGCGGCGAATTCAGTAAAAAATATTTAAAATCACTTAAAAAGCATGAAATAAAAAGAAAATGTAGATCTATTTGTTTAAGAATCTACATATAAGATTGAAATATATTTCATTCGTGAGCATTAGCTATTCTATTTTCACACGTGGCTACGCCACTCGTGAAAATATTGCATCTGGTGTTCACTCAGTGAAATATATTTCAATTTTACATGCAAAACAAACAAATATTCTCTATGTTATCATTAATCCTATTTGTCGTTCTGGTCTTTTGGTACTTATGCCAGAAACAGTTACTGACAATTACAGGTCAACATAACTGAACAAGTGTATGCATTTATATGTATAAATATTTAATATTTTAAGGGTTATACTGGGGTAAACTGCACCGATAGGAATGAATGTTCTGTGGGCATAGGAGATCCATGTAAACACAGAGGTGTTTGTCATAACACACCCGGAAGCTATAGGTATTTCGGATGCACGTCAAGATATTTTATCTATTTTAGACATGTGTCTTTCCTTAATATGTTATTTGATATTTGATAGAATAAAGTATTTCATATTTTATACTCCTTCAAAAAGAATTGATAAGAAAGGACATTTGGTTATTTATTTAAGTAATTTTGATTGTTTAAAGCAAAACTGTATGTTTGGCAGTTCTTTAAACCTGTCGGGAATTTACGCACTCTCAAACGACTAGATACAAATATTTACGTAAATTAGGAGGAGTGTCGCGCGTATCAACTAGAACTCAAATTTAAGGTTAAAGGTGGGAAACATATATACACTTTATTCCTGATAATTTTATCAAAGATTTATCGATAATCCAGTAAACCATATTATGATTTCACTGGAAGTTTAAGTTTTATTATAATGTACATGCATTAATTGTCGAAATATGTATTACATAAGAGGCTTTTTTAGAAAGTTGAATATCTAATTTATAGTAAGATATCATTAATTGATATAATTATAAGATTTATCTCATTGTTAGTTGCATTTGTCTTTCCTCTTGGAATGGAAGTCATTGTACGCAAAAAGTAAAAAGCGAAATTGAATGTTTACCAGGCTATATTAGAGATGAATGCGAAATTCCTTTATGTAAACATGGTTATGCTTTAAACAATACTGGTTCGAGCACGAATTACACGTAAGTTAAATGATTTTTTGAATGTTCAATTTATACTGTATATGGAAATATAATAATAAAAGATTTCCGAATATAATTTTTTTATACTGTGAGCATGCTTATGTTATCAATGATTTTTAAACGAAACTTAGGTACTTGGATAAGAGTTGTTTAGCCTGAATAAATGACCCTGTTGACTATCTCTGACGTATACAACTGAAAGATAAATATGATTTAGTCATTGCTTAAGAGGTAACACTGAATGCCTGAATGTAGCATCGAGGGAATTTACCTGAATCACACAACATGTGTCTGCTTTACAATAATACATCATGGCACTATACTGTAGTACACTGCAAATAAATATTGACAAAACACAAAAGCCGTCTTCCGAATAATAGTCAGAATGTCATTGTCATAAATGATCTTGAAAAGCAAATACTTTGTAAGACATATTCATACTTTAGGTTTAAATATGTGCGTGAGAAGCCGTATAAATTAATTCATTCATTTGTGACAATAAAAACAAAATAAAATGTTTGGTTCGTTTATTAAACATCCTGTACGTTTCCTCTATTGGGCTTTACTTTTTGCACAAATCTGATGTGTTATAAATTGAACTATACTTGTTTGTTTAGATGTTATTGTGATAAAGGTTGGAATCACACTCATACTAATGATCCATGTGACAAGGACATAGACGAATGTAAACTATATCCGAATATATGCAAGAACGGTGGAAGTTGCAGCAACACCAATGGTTCATACATATGTAATTGTATTGGACCATGGGAAGGTGAAAACTGCACATATTATAATGCATGCAGATCAAATCCTTGTGCAAATCAGGGAGAATGTGCAAAAACAGGAAATGATACCGACAGAACGTATAAATGTGCATGTCAACTTGGTTATAAAGGTGAAAACTGTACTTTGGACGTTGATGAGTGCTCTCTTAACACAACTAGTATATGCGTACATGGAAATTGCTCCAATAGTATTGGTTCGTACAAATGCACATGCGAAATTGGATGGACAAGCAAAAGTTGTAACAAAACTTTAACCAAAACGACAACAAATACAACTGAAACAACAAATGACAGCAGTCTTGCAATGAAAGAAACAAAAGACGGATTGCCAATTATTGTTGGAGCAAGTGTTGGCGGGGTTATTATTGCAGTTGCAGTTGTTGGTATATACCTATACAAAAGGTAACATTTAACTAATCATTGCCTTATCTTCAAAAATGTTTTTTTAAAATATGTTCATGATAAGTTCATTTGCATTGTAAAATACACTACAGTATTAATGTTTAAGTATCACTAAGTAATATGTAAAAACTAACGAGCAAAGGTACAATAAATAAATTGTTATGAATGGTTAAAATGATTGCAAATGAATACGCAATTACTTACCATTTACATTTCATTGGTTCATGAACTCATAGTTAAAGAACCAGCGTTGCTTTATTTCAGTGGATAATTTATTAATTATATTAATAAAAAATGAAATTTGAAAATTAATAAGGAAGTGGTGAGATAGTCAACAACATCGGATGTTATGTGACAGAGGCTATGCTTTGTCAATCATCTTGCTGTAAATAGATCTTGTGTCTATGTAAAACACACTTACTTTCTTCTTTAAGAAATAAAAGTGAATGTATCAATTATAAGCGAAATCTTAAAGATTTTACGTTTGGGAGGAGAAACCTTTCCTTTTAACAGTAGTAAGAAGAAAGTGCACATTCACTTTTATATTGTACTGTATATACTTTAAGTACAATTATCTTATTTAATACTCTTATTATATTATTGTTTGCATAGGTTTTAATTTGTTTTTATTATTATTATTATATAGGAAACGAGCAAGGATTGCCTCGGAAGATATAGCAGGAGACACCGGAAGCAATGAAATTTCAAAAACCGAACATGTTGCACCGGAGAGCACCACTGAATTGAATGCATTCACTTCTGATGATTGAAACCATGTCAAACCGATACTTTTAAGCCTGAGATATATTGCACTTAAAATTGTCTCAAGCTCAATGCACGTGTATCATTTGGACAAGAATAATTCATTCATTGATAAACTATTTAACTTATGTGTTTATCATTTGAAATATGAGATACTCAGTCTATGCGAAAGACTTCTGAGTTTTACTGGACAGTAGGTCCTGTAAACTGAAAATTTTTACTGGACCAAACATGATTTTACTGGACCGAAAAAAACCTGATTGGTATAGCATTTTGAGTCACTTGATAAGTGTCAGCAGTCAAAAAATTTGTGTACAAAAAGAAAACTATATTATCAACAAAGTGAAGTTATCTTTTTTTACCACAATCAAATTGTAAACATAAATATTGTTATACTTGTATTCAATGGATTTTGCTATTTAAACTTTAATTCCATACAGACTATATACTAGCAAAATGAGAGGGTAAATTTCAGCAAAAGTCTGGCATATGTAAACAGAATTATATACATGTATATCGGTAATTTAGTGAAGTTGACAGATTAATTGTTCAATGATTTTGGTACCTTCACAGTATAGTTTAATTTTTGTCAACATCTTGGACGATCTTTCATAGCTAAACAGTTGAGCACACGTGTAATTAAGCATTACTCTAAGTCTGTGGATTAAAGACGTAAATTGTTCCAATTAATACACTGACACTTTCATCTATGTGAACAAACTAATAGCCGGTGACCTTTCACATCTGGGCCGCTTATGTAATTTACGCGGCCGCTTATTGACTTTTAATTGTACTAGTTGTCGGATATTTTTATCTTACGTAGTTACATAAAAGTTTGCATTATGAGAATGCATAACAGTTGACAAGCATTGCACGAGCTTATATTGTGTAATGACAATATTTTGATATGTTTTAAATTTAGGTAAATGATTGGCCTTTGCAAAATGTTGAATGTAAGGTTTTTAATAAAAAAAAACCTTAATTTTTTACCGGACCGTCGGGCCGTCAATACATATATTTTTACCGGACCTTCTGATTTTTTACCGGTCAGGGCCGACGGTCTTTCGGAAAGAATAGAGATACTAGTTGAAATTGTTTCAACAGGTTTTCATAGACATTTATTAAGTACATCTAATGTCATATACATGTATGTATGCTCATCTTTAATTTTTATTTCACACCGTATTCATTGGCATCATTTAATGTATATTGGTAAGAAAATGCTTTTCGTACTTTTAACATTTAATATTACACAAGATGTAAACGGGAGTATTTACAAAGTAATTCATTTATTTAATTAAGTTACTCCTCGCTTGTTATAACATATATAAACTACTGATTCATATACATCCATTCGGCATTTTACTTACATTTAAAATAATTTAATATCATTAAAGGCACGTTATGCCTCAGAAATCCATAGTTTTCAATTTCTTTAAGCATGTCAAAAAATTATTTAATAATTGTTAAATACCGGATTTAGAGCATGTTAGATGTTGAGCAATTGAAGAAAATAGCACTGAATATTACAGTGATGTGCCGTAAAATTAGCAAAATGTAAACAACTATTTTGAATACATTGTACTATTAAAATATTAAAAATACTAAGTCAATAAAATTATATCAATTACAAAGAGCGAAAGAAGTAAACGATAGTTAATTTATATTATATATGAGTATAATTGTAACTAGATACAATTGTAACAATCTACATAAATAAAAATGTTTTTCAGAAATAAAATGATAGCATAATGGACCTTTAATGTATATTCATTCATTCACTGTATATTTTGTCTTATATACCATTTCTTTCTTCGCAATTTCACAAAAGCAAACTTCATTTTTTTCTAATTTCACACGACATCACATGTATTTATATCCATTTTACATGTTGTTCGTTCAATTTCAAATTTCGCAATAAATACAGAACAAATCTTTTGATACAATTTTTGAAGAAAGAGTTTTCATATTTGTTCAAAATTGCAGCTAAAATAATCTAACGAATTTTAAGATTTTGTAGATAAACTGATTATTTCAAAAACTCGGGCATACTATCTCACTTTCGTTGTACAATGTTTTTCAAGTTATTTTAGAACTGAAAGAATGTATGGTACATAAAATACACATGGGCAGCCACCGTATTTCAAAAAAATAAATAGAAATGACGAAGGGGCAAATGACAAACAGTTTAGGCACCTACTACCGGGAATACAGACATCAGGGCATTAGGGAAACAAAGTTATGGACCTGTCTATTCATATGTATAGTCTATGAATCATTTGATTGTGTAGACCTTTTATTCGTTCCATGACTGAAAATACAATGTTATGTGGAAATTGCCATAAATGCCATTTACCAATGCAATCGGGGCGTTACATACATGTATAAAGAAATATACATACGTGCATTGTCAAACCCACATCTTTGTTATATGCATTAAATTTGAAGTGTTTGATAATTATGTATCATTAAATATTCGAAATTTTAACAACGTACGTATATTTAACCGAAAATTATAAGTACTTGAAAATTATAAATGTTGCAAGGAAAATTGTTCAAACAAATATTTATAAGTCGTATTTGCTCGATTTGTCGCCTACTTGAATGTTGTTGTTTTTTTTCAAGGAAATGACAAAAAATATCTTATTTAAAATTAACTTTAATTATTATGTCAAATAATTGGCCGGGCTTTCGTTTCGAGTGTCCCTGTATAACTTCCAACTTAGCGTATATCGGCTGCAACGAGTTATAAGTTCAATGATAGTTTCGGAAATAATGTGAGTACTTTAGTGCACCCCATATATTTGGTCTATGCTCCTAGTCCACATAAAAATATATATAAACAAAGTTACTTCTCTTACTTATTATCACATGACCGTCTCCGTGTCGTGTACAACTGCTCACTGCAACACTGCTAGAAGAGAGACATTCTGGGTTTATTTGATATGTGTCTTGGGGAAAGCTAATGACATTGTTTTGACTCCTATGATGTATGTGTTGATAGTTGTGGCCAGTAATTAATTCGTGTTTCAACACTATAAGTGCTATCACTTGTCCTCAAATTTCTGTTTAAATTGTTATTAGAAATGATATAATACACACTTGAAGAGGTCAACCTGTTGATAATGATAATTTATGAAAATATTTGTTTGAGATATATCATTTATTTCAATAACATATCATTATTATAAAAACTGATTTTTGAGAAATTAAAATATCTTATTATACTCAAATGTATTCCGTCATTTTTTTCTGTCTCTACTATTCACACTTTAAGCACTGATAAAGGAACTTTAAAACGTTTGATAAGACTAACTTAAGGATGAGATAATGTTTACGCTTATCATTTAATATGTAAACGTAAATCCTTGAGGTGAAAAGTTGTTTACAAAAAATCACAATATTCATAACATAAATACGGTACATATGTTTTAATACATTGTCATTTGTACGATATGACAGGAAGACAATATAAAATTGGTATTAAATTATACAATCTTAGTTTTAAAAACTAATTGGCGAATATAAAATGTAACATTCAATGTAACACTGTTCTGGCAGTTTCTTTTTTCTTACAAGGAAGGGATTCATCTTTAATTTAAATAATAAAGAGCTCATTTCTGAAATGATGACTTTGTAATCGTGTAATATAATTAATGAATATACTCGTTTTGCGTTCTGTTTGTTTAAACTATCATTTTGACATACTCCTCGTGCCCAAATGTGTTGTGAAAACAAGACAATATTTGTTTATAATATACCATTTAAATTCATATAATTTGTTAACGTGCCTTCTATTAAATGACGCTCAGTGGTGAATATAAAATACGTATTCTCAAGATATAGATAATCATTTAATTATTAAATTGTCAGTAATACAAAAAAGGGAATATTCAAATTGTCAATAATAATACTGTCACAGTAAAATCTTAAACACCTAAAATTAGCCAATTTATCGCTGATTTATTAACTAGTTATTGGCAAAAAATCTTCCGGTGGGTCAAGCGATTCATATGGTATGATAATCTAATGTCAAATGAAGTTGATCTTTTATTGCGACATAATGGCGGTATCAATAAGTGTCAAGTCAAAAATATAATGGCAAGAGATTCAGGCATAAATTTTCACAAATGTTTGATTAAAAAATATTGTTTTCAACGGTTGAAAGAAAGCGTTGCATTATAATCTGTGCAAATTTATACAACAGAAATTGTGATATCATATATCTGGACATTAAGTGGCATAGACTCCATTAAATGTTGCATAGGTCGAATGTGAATAATGTACTATACTAAAATCAAATTCACCTTTTCAGTGTGAATAGTTTTGTTTTTATGGTTATTTGAAGGTCATAAAATGATGACATTAAATTTCAAGAATAAGTTTTATTCAGTTGAAGTTCTTGGGGATGAATTTCAGCTACCATTACCATCAACAATAAGAATATGATCGAAGTACCAGGACGTGGTTTTTAAAAGCTAGTTTAAATTATTGTTGTTCATGTGAAAAGAGGTGCAACTTATTCAACAAAAAGTCTCTGTAATAGCAAAACTATTAAAATCGGCGACAAATGTGGCACAGTAGGTACCTATATGAATATATATTACCTGTTTGAAACCAAAGAATTATCCAAACTAGACATTAATATTGTCTCACAGAAACGAAAGTGATCTACAAACTCCGTCACAGATCAACATAGTATAATGTTCTTATAATATACGTTTAATTTGTAAAGTAAGCCTTTTGAGAATTGCAGGCAAGAATGCTAAATATTCTCGTGCGATAGGGAAATTAGTTTATCATTTGATTTATGTGGTAACGTTTAAAAAGTGTAGAAAAAAATGTTGTTCTTGACGAATGGCGCTTGGTAGTCCTTTTTTGTAAATCTATCCAAGAATTAACTAGAATTTTAAATCGGCCAAAAATTGGACTTTAAGAGTCCGAAATATCAGTAAAATGATTATTTAATATAAGCAATGTTTTTAATCAGAAGCAGCAGTATGAAAATACGTATTAAAACTATTTAGTTCAAATACAAATCCAAAAATCACGAAATATTCAATATAGAGTTCGATCTCCGGAAACTTCAAGAAAATTCTCTAACACCCTGTCTGATTACACTTTT